ATACTGTCATACAATTCCCACAGAGACCGAATCAATGAGCTTGGTGTGCGAGGTTTGCAAAGGACACAGGCCAGACTCTGGAATCCTTTTACTCTCTAGACCATTATGGGAGTCCTGAGGAGAGTAAAAAAACACGCAAAATGAAGAAAAATGCGGATGTCAGGCGCAAGGTGGACAAGATCCATCCTCATCTGCAAAATCAACTCTGGGCATTGCCAAATAAAAATTCCAATAATCACCCAGGGATAATATCCCTCTGTGTAGGACTTCCTGTCATGATTAAAGCCAATGAAGCCACGGAGTGCAATGTCACCAATGGAGCAGAGGCAGTAGTTGTAGGATGGGAATCCAAGCCACTCACAGGAGACAAGAGAATGCTGGATGTGGTATTTGTGAAGCTTACTGCTGCTCCCACTCCTGTCAAACTTGATGGTTTACCTGAGAATGTAGTCCCAATTGCTGCTCAGACAATAAAGATTCCCTGCTTGATGCCCAATGACCGCACACTGACTATCCACAGAACTCAAGTGGCTCTCATACCCAACTTTGCCATGACTGATTTCAATTCCCAAGGCCGTACCAGGCCATACAATGTGGTGGACCTCCAGAACTGCAAAAATCACCAATCTGTGTACACGTGTCTGTCCAGGGGTTCAAGCTATCAGGGGACCATTATTGTCCAGGGCTTTGACAACTCTAAATTCATGGGCGGTGTCACTGGCTGGCTCAGACAGGAATTCAGAGAGCTGGAGCTGCTAGATGAGATCACAAAATTGAGATATGAAGGAACATTGTCTCCAACAGTACAAGGGGTCACCCGTGTAGCCCTCATCCATGCTTACAGGAACACAAAGGGTGCTAAACACATGCCCAAGACCATGCACACTGCACTGAGATGGTCTGAGAAGCAGCCCTTTGACATTGAGGCTCCATACAAGGAAGCTGAGTGGGATATAGTAGAGCATCCAAAGAAGAAGAATGCAAAACAAGGAAGCACAGATGAGCTTGCTGAGCAAGCAGCAAGTGAAGATACACAACAGATCTCCCAACAGGATTTGCAGGCAGCCAAGTATATTCCTGCCAAAGGGCTGTACAGCTTGCAACTGTGAGTACAGACACTGGTGGTAACATGCGCAAGAGGCCCCTGGGACAAGGGACACATAAAGATAGTAATGACAGGCCAGCAAAGAGAGCACGACCACTGGCAAATAATAGCAATATGCCACTCTGTTTTGACTGGAATGAAGAGACATATAGCTGTGCATTTGACAGTCTGCTGGGCATTTTGCATTGTGTTTACCAAGAACAGAACATGTACTGGCAGCAGCATATAGCTCATCAAAACAAATATCTCTCAGCTTTCACAGACATGTTGCAGCAGGTCCACCAAAACAAAACCAACCTCAACAGTGTCCGGGACAGAATGCATGAGATGCTGCACAATGATGATCCAAACTCATTCCCCATGGTAGCTCCTGCAGGGTCTGATCTGTATGCTCTGTGCAAGCAGATGCTTTCTCATGATATGGACTACTGCAATGAGACAGACCGATGCTCCTCATGCCATGTCTCCCAACATGTGACCACTTCTTCAACCAAGCTATGGACATTGGATGCTGCATTGTGGGATTCCAGGATTGCGCGGGGGCGCCATGTGACAACACGGACAACTTCTCATTGGGTCAAAGCCACCCAGAAGCACAAACTTGGAACTAGATGCCGCTTTTGTAATGCAACTATGATCCATGAAGAAGTTCTTACAACAGCACCCAACTTTATTGCATTTAATGTATACAGGGCAGATTGCACTAGGCTAGAGAAAAAGGTGGACATTAACACTGCCTTAGGTAACACCTCTTACCGACTGTGTGGGGTGATTTACTTTGGTGGATTCCACTTCACAGCAAGGATAATATCAACAAATGGTCATATCTGGTTCAATGATGGCAAAGAGACAGGACAGAATTGCACTGATGAAGGTATCCTGACTGCAAGTGGTGGCTTGCAACTGTGCAGTGCAGGGAACAGACATATGACAATAGGTCTATATGTCAAGGTTGCCTAACTTGTAAAAAAGTGCTACAGTACCGAAGGGATCGTACTGCCAGTCATGGCCCTCTCCCCAGCAAGTGATAAACGGGAGTCTTGTGACCATGCCGTTCCACCACTCGCACATTGCGATCTCTCCTTCCAGGGCCACTGGAAATTCTGTAGAATCAACTGCTGGCATGAGAATGTTGCGGAGTGTATCCACAGGATAGGTGGATTTCAATGATGGGAGGGCATACAGGGAACTTGAAGAAGGTGCATCCGCTAGTGGTGGCGACAACAGTGCTTGTGGCGGGGACAATGGTACTCGTGGCGGGGACAACAGTACTCGTGGCGGGGACAACAGTGCTGGCATGGGGGACAAAGGTGCTGGTGCTGGAGGCGGCGTCCGAGTAGGTATAGTTGATGGCTGAGTGGCCTGAGTCGAGGTGGTTGGCTCGGACGTGCTCTGGACCACCTCTTGTCGTTGAAGATCATGCCAGTGTACAATCCCTCGGCCTCTGGAACGGAGTGTTTGAAGACTTTTTGGGGCCGTGTCCATGCAGGTGAGGGATCCATCATCCACCTGCAGGGGCTCAATCGTGATCAAATGATTCTGTTGACGGCCTGTACAGGACTAAGTACTCACTGCGGCAATGTGCTGAGCGAACTCCACTGCGAACTGCGCAACAATCTCGCAGGTAAGTTTGCTCCAATCTTTAGGGAGACCATCTGGTATTTGATTCTGGGCATGCTCTTTCCGATAGTCCGTGGCATGATTCATAGAGACACGGCGCATCACCCAGGCTAACCGCCAGTTGGTCGCAAAGCTGAGAGTCAGCTCAGCATTCAGGGGATGATTTGTCTCCCGGCGATGAATCGCCTTGTCAGCTAGCTTTGACCACCCATTCTGACCCCGGATGAAAATCTGGGAGCCCTGGCGCGAGCTCTGGATCCATAGGTCACCGGGACTCCCCACAGTCTCCAGCGGCAAAGCGTCTCCTGCCAGCAAGAACTGGATTTGAATATAGTTCTGTCTGTTGATATCCATGAAGCGTGATTTCTCTGCACCGGCGGCACATGTTGAGATGTTCGGCGTGAAGGCCTCTAGATACACGGAGGCGCCCCGCTCTAGCTCCAGAGCGCGAAGGTGGCCCTGCTGCTCTGCATCTGTTTACAGGGGGCATTATTAGTTGTGAGAGCTACCCACCCAAACATACGCACCGAGAATTGGGGGAGGGCCAGGCAAGACAATCATGATTTAAGTACTACTGCAGTAGGATGCGTCGAGACGGGCGTCCAATCTGTGGCTCAGATGAACGTGACATGATTGTCTCATGACTGTGACATGTTGTCACAGTGATACCTCTGTGAGCCTCAAATTCTTGCAGCTCAATTGGACAAGTGCACGGCCTCACCTATCCTTCTTCACTCATCTATCCTATTTCTCGTCCGTCACTCACTTGTCGCTCAGGCGATGTCGATTACGCCGTGCTGACGAGATCTGGATGATCACCCGAGCTCTACCTGGTCTGGAAGTGCTCTGTCTCCGCTTAATCGCAGTCGAGTCTGTAGCCCTGGATAGTACATCGCCACCTCGCTCCCCTATTGCTGTCAACCAGAAGCTCCCGTGAAATACACCTCCGGGACTGCGCTGGTTGTGAATGTCCCCTGGGGATGTGTGACTGGCAGCACCTCACTCCGAGTCTGCTCGACGTTCCCCCGTTGTACTTGACTGTGGACACCATCTCCCTCTGGTATACTGGTTTCCTCTCTGCTTCGGAGTTCCAGTCATTCGACGTCTATGCGTTCCAGGCCCTTCGGAACATGCGTATAGACGGTGAGCTGCTGCCGGAAGACTTGGAGTCTCCGACTACCCCAGCTGACATGGTCGCGCTGGCCACAGGCGTGAATGCTGGTAATTCATGGGCATCCGTCCGTCCGCCTGTCACAAGTATCCTCAGCCTTTGCTTTTGTGTAATTTGAGCTGTTTGCACAGCAGTGTTGCAAGCTTGAAAAGCTGCACATTGATCTTCTGGAACCGCCCTCATCTGCAATGAGTCAGACCATCAGCCAAATTCTACGAGTATCCGGGCCGGCATTGGGGGAGTTGGAATGGAATCACCCCGGTTGGATTGGTGCTTTCCTTCCGCATGTGAGTGGCTGTGCGCATACCAGTCGCGTCGCGTACTGACTCGGACATTCTCGTACAGCACGTTCTAAACTGTCTTCCACCTTTGCTGACAGATAACACCAGTCTGGGAGTTCTGACCATGGACTTTACTTCCACCTCGGCGCTGAACATGATATGGGCGTATAGAAGCCTCCTGAGCCTGTTCGCGCGAATTGGAAGTGCACACCTGCAAAGTGTGCATGTTAACTTCCTAACCTTCCACAGTATAGACGGTTCCGCATGCGCGATCACGGCAGAGGCTATTGCAGCATTTCATGCCGCTCTCTTCCGTAACGTATTTGCACGGTTGTCCTATGTGGCTGTCACTATCTCCTTCCGCGTCAGCATCGGCTCGAACCAAGAACACATTGCGAACTCCATTGCAGAAACACTATACACGTTGTCGGCTAACGTCAAGTCCGCCTTGTTCCCCTCTTTAGTCCTTGGCTGGCTCGTGGAGTCATTGCGCTGGAACTTCCTGATGGATCGCGTATCTAGGACCCAGAAGAACCCACTGCATGAGATGGAAAGTGTTGTACAACGAATTGGGCGACCCCTCCTCTCTCGCCGCACGCTCGGCTTTATAGTGTCAATCCTACGATAAGGAAAAGCAGCGGATCCTAGAGCATCGACGACATTCGACCATCAATCTCTCGTTGCCGAGCCTACGCCTTGCTATGTATCATACCGGCCGAATTCACTCCCAGAGCTCGGTTTGGATGATAGGCACCGGAGTCCACGCTACAAACCCTGTTCCACTCGGTCGATTATGTTCATCTTTGTCTTTCTTTGTTGTCTACTAGTAGTTGCTGCTCGTACCAGTCTCGATCACATGCGTGACCATGTCTCGTCCTTGCACCTCGTGTTTGATGAAACAGCTGTATGTGGTGCGCAGTTTTCTCTCGAGTTGAGGTCCTCTGTGACTGTCGTCGCAGTTAGCAGACTTCTTGCTGTTTGCTGCTTGTCCTAGCCTATTCCGATTGTCTCCGGAATTATTCATGTTGATAGTACTACCTGTGTGCCACATGTACACATAGTACCGTTTCACCTAAGAATACATGCAGCGCTCTCGCATGATGGTAGCGGGACAATTGATGCCTCCGAAGCGCAGTCATATGCGCTGGGGCAGCGATCAACTCGAGTTACGTGGCCGCATACATTGCTCGGAATCACTCCTAGCTTCCGCATCGTGTGTGCAGACAGGATGACCATCTCGCAGCGATGCAAGTGTGAGTATGGTCTCGTAGTCATCAACTCCGGGACGCTTTCCCGCTGCCTCCAAGCTGAAACATAACACGCCGACATGGATGGGTACGAACAATACCATACTGTGATAACCTGAACATCACCCATATTAGCATCTACATTCACCGACGGGATATAACCCACCTTCAGAAAGTAATCTCGAACAATTGCGGACTCAGATACGAGCGACCCGAACGCCATCAGTAAACGGACATCGCATCATGAGATTGCCGCTGGGGCGTACGTCTGTGGAGTCTTCTAGCAAAGTGTCCTACCTGAAGAGTATTGAGGAATAACAATTCAGTGATCGAGAGCATGCGTAGTGCTCACGTCGTCGGTCCATCCGCTCATGCTCTCCCTCCCCTGCGTGACGTCGTCCACAAGCGACGTCCGTTCCGAAACCAAGGCCGCGCTGACCTGCGCCGCTCGCTTGCCGATGGAAGAGAACATCTCCAGACACGCTAGAGTTAACGCATACCTTATGCCACCACATCGCTGGACGTGACTGCGCGGACTGTCATCCGTCATGGCACACCCCGTCATGTTCGTTCGTTGCTGGAGTGATCAGAATGGTGGCTGTACGAGCAGAGAAGACCGTGACCGAACCATGCATCCAGTCAAGAAAATGGTGCAGGTGGCAGTGTGATCGGTCGACGCTAGCTACACAGCTGACACCAGCGTAGCGTTAGTGCCCGACATCGATGCGGGACAAAGGTCTTTGGACGCACCATTTCGTTCGTTTTGTGGCGATGAATATAACATTGCCGTACAACCTGCAGAATGCACGTTTGTATTTGTACGTTGAGTCCATAGATATTGAGGTTCCCAGGCAGTCAGTTGGTGCCACGGTACGCAGTAGGGGGAAACATAGGATGGCAGGACGGCTGTTACACCGAGCCCGGACGGGGCGACGGAACATAGGTCAGACTGTTAGGCCTGTGAAGACGCAGTGATGCCACCGCAAACGACGGGCGTCGTATACTAGAGTGCAGTGAAGCAGTGGATGCCTGAACTCGCTCGTCGCCAGACCCAGCCTGTCCACCTGGCAAAAGAAAAGTGCACGTCGCAATGTGTATTTGGACCTTGCATGACCAGGATCGCGCGCGTATATGCGCGAGCTGGGCGGCGGGTGCGTTCTGTGGGTGCCTATGCAACACATCAGCCACGATTCGCGTGATGGCCAAAAAAGAAAGGATGGCCAAGTACAATCGACCGGCAAGAGCCTCATCACTCAAGCGACGTACGCTGGTCAACTCGCTCTGTTGTTTCTCAGGAATGCTCCACTGACCCTCCATGACTGAGTCATATGAGTACGAAGACTCACGTGCGTGTTTGATACAATCGCGCAGCTTCAACCGCTCGACAGGCCCTGCGAGCCCGCATGATGCTGTTGAAGATAGCTGCCAGTATAACTGGGTAAGTACTGGCGGGAAGCGCGTATAGGGCAGCAGGGTGGGCGACAACTACATATGTGACGTGCACAATGCGTAGTGACCTTAAGCTTGGCGATCACGCGCCAGGTCGATGACGTTGAGCGTGTGGTACTTAGCTCGCAGATGCAGCCATTAAGTGACGTCGTGGTCAGTGTTCTGAATATTGATCACTACGGAGGGCAACGCATGTCGATCCTCGATGTTGATCATGAACTTGAAGGGGCATCCAAGGTTGGACCAGAGGGGAGATCGGATTTATGGTCGGTAATCCCAGTGCGGCGAGTAGAGGCGCACGATGTAACACTGAGGACCGTTAGATTTATGGTCCTGCTAGTCACTACGTGCCAAGGGAAGCGCCGGGGAAGCGCCCAGGGAAGCCAAATGGCGACTAAATTATAATAGCGCAGTGTGTGGTGCCCGATATGGCTGAACAACAAGAGGGAACAGAGGCGCCGGCGAGCAACCGGGACACGAGTGACTTGAAGACGCGACACGCATCGACTCAGATCAACACACTCACACTGGCCTACCCGTCACTCACAGCACTTGTTCGCAGTCAACTAGAGGCATTCGGGTGTATGGTGAAGAAGGACAGCACTGAGATCTCGAGAGGTGGTAGGCGACGGACACTGCACCGCCAGCCGTCAGCGGGGCCACGCTGGTGACCGCAACAATGTTCGATGAATCGCCGCAAGGGCCGGATGCAGCCCAAACTGAGTCGGCACAGTCCCTAGACTACACCGACCCGCACACAGATGACTCGGATGCCACGCGCGGAGTAGCTGAACACGGCGCGGACGCAGACGAAGGGCCTCAGGATGGACTCAGAGGCACGTCTGAGGACTCGGACGGACGTCAGTACGGCGACACAGGTCAGGAAGGACTGGTTAACACCAGAGACGTACCTGCGCAGCCCGAGTCGCATTTCGAGTCGCCCAGCCAGAACGAGAGCAGCGGCTGATGAGGGAGAGGGAGGATGGCGGTTTGACGTGTAATC